AATAATCGTCCGATTCATCGATTTTTAAAATAATCGTTAGTTGCAGCCCTAGACACAATAATATTTCACTATTGAATTGAGGTTTATTGGACTAACAGAATAAGTGCATTAGGAATTAAGACAAACTTGACAGTTTTATGAATGAGGCGAAGGTTGCGTGTAACACTTATTCCCATCACTGTAAATGTAGCTACAGATAGGAGGCAAAAGCTGCTGCATATGAGCCTTGAATTTCAGAAAACAGGTTCTGGAAAGTCCTTAAAAGTGTTTGTATTCAGTGTGTGAGAACCGAGGTCAGGGCCAAAGCCTGAGAGGTTTAACCCGTGGAAAGACGAGCGCTAACTTTGCTTTTCTCTGCTCCAGGTGGAAGGAAAGCGGGTTCCCCGGGATGCAGGACATCCTTTCTACCCCTTCAATGACCCCTACTGATGACCTCTTCTAAAGCCTGAATTCGTGCCTTCAACTTTAACCTCACGTCGCCGATCGTGGTTGTTGTTCCCTTTGTCTTCAGTGTCTTAGATTCTGCACCTTCTGTTGGAATGCATCAAACTCTTAAAAATCACTGTAACTGAATGAACACCTCTTCTTTTTTTAAATAAACATTTTCTTACGTTACCAAGTGTTTTTATTTACAGTTAATAAAGGTGTACAGCCTCCTGCTGCGGCCTGCACAAACGCACACTGCTCACGCATTCCCAGCTCACCGGAAAAATCTATGCAGCGCTAAAATGAAACATAAACTAAATCAATTAGACCAATAACTTTTTTTTTTTTCTGTATCATTTTGAATCTGTATCATTGATTTTTCAACCAACAATGGAAAAACAAGAAACAGTTTTTTCCTCAAATTTAGTTCCATAATACAGAGAACTGGAAAACAGCTTTTTTCTATATTTGGGCAAAAATGGCCGCTCCCAGACTCTGTGATTGCATATCTTTACTGATTAATGCTAAATTCATTAAATCACTGCTAACGTATTAGTTTTAGTTCTAGATAAGGATCCACTGATCATTCTTTGCTGACCGGACTTTTCCTTTAACATTGCTGTGTGGCCTCAATGTGCGCATCTGATTAGAGATGTTCCAGTACCATTTTTTTTCTCTCTATGATTCCGATGCTTGTTCTTTATTGACC